ACGCCCACTTTGGAGTTAAATGATGCAGATTCAAAAACATGCATAGAATATGATTTTCTGCAACACTGAAGGTATGTCATCCTGATAAGTATCATTAAGCCTGAGTAGTCAACTGACGGTTTCATAACGACTGATCATGTGCGTCGGTGATTCAGAGTGGTAGAATGCTCACCAAAGACGGAAGTCGTCCAAAGTTCTAGAGTGAAACTCCAAGTCGCACTAGGAACTCAAAGGAGTAAAAATTCTAAAGAATAATAACCCGCGTTATACACAGCAGCATCGTACTAATTAAAACTGGACAGTTACACTAGTTACTATTCCGTGACTAATTTATTATTATTATTGTTTCCTTTAATTCATAGAGGAGCATAGGGCTTCAGCCGCCCAAGTCTCCATTGCCTTCGGTTTTCTGCCAACGTTTTCACCCCGCTACAAGTCTCCCCACATGCTTCCATCTCCTCTTCACATGACCTCCTCCAAGTCACCCTCACGCCAACGACCAACTCGCCGCCCGCTTCCCTTTCGGCCTGGTTCCACTCGAGCGATGGCTTGTCTAGTGATGTCACTTGATGGTTTCCTCACTGTATGGCCAATCCACTGCCATTTCTTCCTGCCTATTTGTTTCACAATCGGTTCCTGGTTGGTTCGCTCGTTGCCAGAGATCCCTGTTGCTGATATTTTCTGACTGGCCATCTGATCTTGAACATTGGGCGAAGACATCTGTTGATGAAGGTGTGTAGTTTGTTCGAAGTGCCCTACGTGAAGTGCCAAGTCGCTGATCCGTATGTTGAGTGGCATTGACTTCACATTAGGGTGGAAAATCCGGGTCTTATTTTCGATGCTGAGTGCTGTTGATCTCCACACCGACTTGAGAGTAATGAAAGGCTGTCTTGCTTTCCCGATTCTGTCTTTGATATCCTCGTCAGTTCCATCAGGCTGTAATTGAAACGATGCTTCCTAGGTGGGTAGGTAAAGGAGGTTGTTTCTTTCAGGTTCCTCCCATTTATGCTGGCTGATTGTTGTCTGTTGTTGGTGGTGTTGACCAGGAATCTTCATCACCTCTGTTTTCTCTATGTTCACATGAAGGCTTATCTTCTCTGGATGCTTCTTCTGCCAAATTGTAACTTTTCACTTGCATATCTTCTAGTTTGTGGGAAATCAGACATATATCATCGGCGAAGTCTAGATCCTCCATGTTTTTTGTGTGGGTCCATTTTATGCCTGGTGACTAATTTACGCGGATGTATTGTCTTCATTTCCTTATTTTCCTTCTTAATCCATTGTACTTTGCATGGACGTATAACAGGGAATAACTTAGAACATTATACAGTAAGTTTGCTTAGATGAACTTCGTTATTAGTACTTAGATTTTCTAGTTCTAAAAATTGTTCGATTCCATAATAGAATATAATTTTATTTGATGTAATACACACTGTGATGCATTATGTTTTATTATTACAATTACTTTTCATTTGATTGTTTCAATTAAATAAATAATACTGTATTCTATGAAAATAATGGAGAACAGATTTATAGCTAAAAATAGGGAATTACAATTTGTTCACTATTCATCAAGTATAGAGATGTCATCACGTATCAAAAAATTAATCAATTTCTATTGTGTAATAATGTCAACTAGAGAGTTATCCCATTATGGGATTGCACACTACTTATCATATTCTGTCAAAGTTCTTTTCTAATACAAATAGTCAATGCTTATGCATAACAATCAATCGTCAGAGTTTAATAAAAAAAAAGAAGAAAAAAATCAAAAATTGTGAATCAACAGGTTATCATGATGTTATATACTACTACTGACTGGTATGAGGTAGTTAGAAACAATTCACGTCGAATCTACGGCGCTTGTTATGCAAATTAGACTGACCTAGACACCGTGCAGTCGTTTTGGGCCAAGCTCATCGATGATTTAACCAAATCGACTTAGTTCAGAAAGGTGAGTCAGTTGACACCCCTGAATTCTGGCTAGGTCTGTCTCTCTATCTGTTTTCGACACAGAACTTTGCACCGAAGTGCGGCTGTTCAAGCTGCCACTTTCCATGTAGCACACGAAGTAAAAGAAGAAATGCAAAATAGAGACAGTATACAGGTAAATGAGAGAAAAGGGATAGTAATAACAAAGAACAACTCAGTTTCATTGGAAATCATAAGTCACAAGGAGTGGATGCATCTGCACCAGCCATTGAGAACGATTTTGAGCCATATCACCAATTGTCTCCAGCCATTGGTTTTTACCGTCCCGAGGACCCCAACCACTCAGGAAGTCTACACCTTCCTACGTGGCTGGTTTAAACTAACTGTTGTGGATTTCATTGACTGGTTGCATGTTTCGGTTTGACCATCACTAGTTAACTCCTTTCCAACCTGACCCTATGTCAGGTAACATTGCCCGTTGTCGAGGAAGGGGATGACTAGGTATTCGTGACACATGTCCTAACCATCTCAGTCGGTGTAATTTCACAGCCTCGTCGATTGATTTCCATACTCCTTACCTAGCACTCGACTGAAGCCTTACCTCACTATTGCTCACCTTATTATACCACCTCACACAGGAGATAGAGAGCAGGCATATATGATCAAAGACAGCTAGTCAAAGAAGCTGTGAAGGAAAAATTATTATTATTATTAAATTTTCGTACTGCAGTATTTTAAACTGAGTAAGTTAAAGTATCACACTTTACCGACATAATAATCGAATAGAGCATGACAGGGTATGATTCCATAAAAGGATAGTTGTATACGATACAACACACACGCACAAAATGAATGATACAGTAATACTTATTTATTTACTGATAAAGTTTAGTTCATAAGTAAATCAAGGTGTCCCAGTTTAAAGAAACTCTTAGCAACTGCATTGTGTGCACCAATACACAATCACGCAACACGGTGAGAACACAGATGCACTTCTAAAAACTGAATACTGTTAGTTTGGGGGGGGGTAGGATGCTCACTGAATCTTTCTTCAAGGGACATACACCGAACAGTTGCAATAAGGATGGACTGACATCAGCAGTGGATATATGGGGACTATTACTTCCAATAAAATTTAAGGATAAGAAGTAACAGAAATATTACAATAAAATCTGATAGTGATATGAGCGCTTTGATATGATTGTGAACCATAAACTGTCATCAGTAAATGAATTATCCTATTATAGAATTACATTCTAATACAGTGTCCAAATATTTTTCGTACACCAATATGTCTACACTCATGAAGCGTACAGTGCACCTAGAGGGTTGAGTAACCTTGATTTTAAACCCATCGCGCATACGGACTCCAGGATTTAAAGGGTGCAAACTTGTACCGACACCACATGTCTTGTTGAAACTTGTCGCTTACAATGTCTGGACACTGATGAGAACCAAACAACAACATAGGTTTGGTCTGGACATTAGAAAGTCTTGCAGTTAATGCATATTACATCTCAGAGTGAGAAGTAACTTGGCAGAAGAGCGTTGTCTCATCGTTATCTTTTCTCACACAATGATAGATTGAAGCTTGGATCCAGCCGAGAATGAATTCAACTGTGACCTCAACCAAAAGTCCTCAACTTTACAATTGAATACACATAGTTTAAGGAGACGGTGGAGACTAGTTGGCTACAGATTTGTACTGATAACATTGTACTTCTAACCACCACCAACAGCAACAACACCTTTTAACACAGTCCCCGGCCGGCTACTGCTACCTTGCCGTGGTGGTCGGGCTTGAATACCGCAATGACCCAACAAGCTAAACTGGTTGGGACTCATGTCCCTGCAGGTCCTACCATGTCAGGAAGGTTGTTTGGATAGCGGTTAGACTAAAAGCAGTTACCATGGGGTACATGGACTCCAGAATCCAATCGGATCAAATGGCGTATGAACCCATATGGGTCACTGGCAACCATGGGAATGCAGCTCCTGACGCTGCTCTGCTGCCTTGCGGATTATACTCCAAGTCAAGGGCTCGGAGGGTGGTTCCTTAATAAAACCACCTGCTTCGGTCTGGGCGCCCGAGCAGTATCTCAGCCCTCACACAATTATTGTGTGGCGCATCTTTCCTGGTGCCATATAAATAATAATAAATAATAAAATAATTTAGCACAGTCATTGCTGTTGTGCTATCTCGATCAAATGTTCATTGTCCATAAGTTGCTAAAATATGGTTACACTTACTGTACGTCAAAATAAAAAAAACAACTGTATATCTTTATACCAAGACTGTTCTTCAAAGCTGTTCGTCTGAGAGATATGTGTCAGTGAAAAGTTTATCAACATCTATAAAGCCTTATACAACAAAAACGAAAAAAAAACACTTCAGGTAGAATGACAGCATACAACCAGCTATTGCCAAAAAGTAGTCGGTTTATACGGCTGTCATGTGCTTGAGGGGTTATCATTCAATAATACAGTACAAAAGATGGAACAGAATCTTAAGCAAGGTAGTTCTGTACAAAGATGTAGAGTTGTCAGTGGAATTTATTAATTCTGCAATCTGCTATTTACACACTTCAAGGTGAAATTCCACCACAAGTTTCCTTTCGAAATCTGAATTATTCGGATCACACACAGTATGTGATCTGCTTCATATCAGAAATGCCAATCAGAAAAGCAAGGAAAAATATATAATATCACGTTATATACTACCGACTGATTGGTATGACCGGTTGGTTGATGTATGTGATATCCAACTATTCAATTAGTAGTATATACATGCAAAGTAGAATTTGTCATTTGAATTTCATTGATCGCATACAGATTCATTCCGTATCCAAATCATACTGCATACGAATGAGCAGTTTTACCATCTTTAACATGATTGGTGTATAACTCGAATAATTCTATTGGTTAATCGTGACTGTCTTTATGTTGCCTACTATTTAATTAGTTGTGTATCTCGGGAAAATGCCTGCTGATAATAATGGTGAAAATTAATACAGACGGCTTAGTCGAAAGACAAATGCAACTACGCTTTGAGGATAATACACACTTACCAGTAACATGTGGCCAACAGGTCAATTTTTGTATCACATCTAAGTGATCATCAATTTTTTCTAAAGAATAATTGACATTTGAATTGTTAACATCATTCAGTTTTTGGCCTGATTCATTATTGATACTGGCTAATGGTGTCCCATTGATGAGGTTAGCATTGTTATTATTGCTACTATAGGGTAGAAGTGCTTCCAAACGGTAGGATTGAATAGGAGTACCACCATCGTCCTCTGGGGGGTCCCATGTTAATGCTAATCGGGTTGGTTGTAAAAGTGAACCATAGATCTAGACACAAATATAAGATAAGATATGTTTAACAAAAAGGCTATATACATACATAAGAGGAAAACGACTTCTGTTCATACAGACAGGTCAACTGTTTCAAAAAGAAATGCATATTAAAGTAGTTTCATCAATGAAGTTACTAAACATTGGCTTGAGTCGTAAAGACAGGACAGAAGTACTTTAGATGTCGCTCCTATCTTACATCATTTCTTGCTTAAACGAAGGAGTCAAATATGTTCAATGTACCTGCCTTGACTACAGATCCGCCTTTAACTCTATACCCAGATGTCTTTTGTTATATAAGCTTTCTTTGACCCAAACTGAGTCCTGGGCTGTTAACTGAATGTATTCCCTTATTTCTACAGCAGAGTGCAGTTTTTCGTATATAAATATAAATCCTTCTTTGCCTTGCTTACAGAAGTCGGTGTCTCTCAAGGTGTTGTTCTCTCTCCTCTCCTTTTTTTCCTTCTTCTCACACGACTTGCCTCTTTTGGAAGAAATCAACTTTATAAAATATGCCGGTGGTCTTGTAACAACAACAACGGAAGCCAAAGTTCATTTTTCATTGATCAAACCGCTGTTTATATATCTAGAGTTAATATTCTTTAACCAATCACTGAGCGTGTGAAATAGAATGTCCAAACAGACATATTGTATTCTGTTGCTATTGCCGAACTAAACTGTGGGAATATGTGAGAATAATATTTTGTTGGCACACATTGTCTGTATCACACCACCACAGTCTAACTGTCTCAATGTTAGTTACTAGCGTATCTGACTGTTCCAAATTTATTGGATATCGGTCAATGGTTTGAGTAAAATGACCATACGTTAAATGTCAGACGGTTAACTTTTCCTTCAGGCATAAACGTTATCGAAACGACTTGGCACGTTCACAGCATGCTTGAAGTATAGAAAGTAAGTCAACTATAAAATACCTTGCAATAGTTCTGTTCTCTGATCTTTCTCAGCCATGCCATGTCTTACTGGTATTAGATGGTTGGAGGCAATCGGTCGGAAGCTTTGGGCTTAGGTTTTGTGCTAGTTGGTAATCGTCAGTAAGGCGTACCTGAAACCTTGAAGGAACTTAATTCCCTTCTGAGATTCGAACCCGCGTGACCCAGTGCTGCAGTCAAAGGAACATGAACTCCTTCAAGGTTTCAGATACGCCTTGCTGACGATTGCCAACAAGCACGAAACCTCGGTCCAGGGATTCCTGTGGCCGATTGCCTCCAACCATCTAATAGTTACAGAGTGTTTAGTAAGGATGGTTAGTCAGTTTGCATAGGAATGCAATCGTTCAAGTTGCCAAACCTAAGTAGCTTTAATGAAACTATAGTGAATGACGATGTATGGAAGAAAGATGAAGACACCACTCTGCAGTTTCAGAGCCCAAAAGATCATAAGGAATGAATACATTTACGCCACTGTGAATAACTTTGAGTCATTTCAACGATAGCCTCAAGCAACTGAAGCTCAGCGGTCCAAGGACTCAAACCAGCAGTTTAAAAATTCATACATCCGTATCATATTTTCGTCTGACCATCCCTAACTGTCTTCAAACTTAATCTTTTTTAAGATAAAATTGATTGCTAATGTAAGCAGTGATGAGTAGGTCTGTAAGCTAATACATCCAGTTATTTATTCAACAATTCCTCAACCCCTCTTCACAAATTTACTACCTTTATATTTATTTAAAATTGCTTATTCGAAAGTTTTTAAAATGCCTTAAGAGAAGTACAATAACTTACTCTTAAATTTCTCGGTGCAGATGGATGATCTGGAAGTGTGGCTAAAGTTACTGTTTCACTCCAACGACTTCGACCATCTATATTAGACGCTGCTAAGCGGAATCGATATCGTGTATTACGGCGTAAATTATCAACACAATGTTCTGTACCAGTGCCATCAAAAACAGTGACAAAGCCATGCCCCATAGCTTGATCATCCATTTCTAGCGTATATGTAATTGGATTTAAATGATTTGAATAGCTAGAAGAATTTGTTTGTTCACAGATATTATCATGAAGATGATGATGATGGTGGTGGTGATGATGATGATGAAGGTGATGATGATAATGATGACTATGATATTGGTGATATTGATCAGTTAAATTACTTGGTGGACGCCAACCAAGTGTTAATGAATGAACATCAGCTTGAATTAAAAATGGTGGAGATGGCATATCTGGTGGACTACCGGAAGTTGAAGCTGACAGTATTGGACTCCATGAACTTGAGAAAAGAAAAAAACAAAGACAACATATTTCATAACGATTCATCAAATTATAATTTTCAGAAAGAAGTATAGTAATCAGAAAACATACATCATAAGAAACTACTCACAACATATTATCAGTAACAGGTTTGATCACTAACTGACATCAGTAAGAGAAACATTAGGGAACTAGAGAGTATTGGAAATACCTGAGGTTCTAGCGAGAAGTTCATCAAGTCCGGTGAGAGAACAGTTACTCACTTATGACAATGGCCGGCAGTTGAACTATGCATATAGCGAATCGACAGAAGTTAGAGTTCATAGGTCATTGGATCCCGGGTCACAGTGGTTAGAAATGCTCGTAACTGTTCACGTCTATCAGTAATTCTTATTTCCAACTATTCACATCAATGATTTGTATATACCATGTTGTGATTTTCTCGCTTTCTTGATGCTAGCGGAAAACCCACACGTTGTGGTCTAAATATTTCCAGTTCTCAAAACAAACTATGGTCAATTTAATTGAATTTTTGATCTTCTCGTCGATTGATTGGATCGATGTGCTCGGTTTCAGGTTGACATGTCGGCTTCTTATGCAGATGCTTCGACGAGGTCTGGGCATTTAGTTAGTATTTAATTGGTGGATGGTGACTAGAAGTGGAATCCAGGATGCGCATTTCGCCCTAATTGGGACTCGTCATATGGATGTACCTGCATTTCTCAGTGAGTGATGATGTTCCCACCGAGGCTCGAACACTGAAGCCGACATGTCAACCTGAGACCGAGCACTTCGGTCCAATCAATCGACGGGAAAATCAAAAATTCAATTCAATTAATATGACCCGTTGCTCAAAAGGTGGCTCCCGTGGCCCAAGGGGTCTAGTGGATAACGCTTTGGCATTTGAAACTATGGGCACTGGGTTCCGGTCTCGGTGGGAACATCACCACTCACTGGGAAATGCAGGTACATCCAGCTGACGAGTCCCAAATAGGACGAAATGCGAATCCTGGATTCCACTGCTAGTCACCATCCACCAATTAAATACAAACTATGGTCAGTTTTCACTCTGAACGGCTAAGTTACATCTAACTGACATCTAGTATATATTCAATTCTATTGCTTTATATACTTTTAGTAAAGACCTATCAATCCACGCAATTAGTTTATTTGGATAGTGTTATTAGAAGACGGAGATTATCTGAAAAAATGGGATGTATTTGCGCAGTACATTTTAAACAATCTGAGCACACATTTACTTCTCAAGTCAGTTTATATGAAAAAATAAAGGCCAATTAAAATGTGACGGAAACGGAGAAAAAATATTCAAAATAGTAAGAATAATTGAAACTACGTTCGCTTATATAATCAGATAAGGATAACCAAGGTGCGTTAAGAGTAATAACAAAATGTTTTTGGACACACAGAGGGGGGTGGGGGTCTTAAGCTTATGAATAATCATAGCCTCAGCGTATTTCAATAAGTGCCCTTGACCGTTTTTAGGAATAACGTTAGAAGCTGTTTTGACGTCAATCTTGTGGTTCATGAGGATTAGATGTTCAGCCATAGATGAAGTTGGTAGTCTGCCACCTGCGTCTATCGCTTTTTCAAAGTTCATCCGTTTTTATGGTCACTTCGGAATATGCTCTCCCATCCTCACATACAAAGCGTGGTTGCTCCTCCCTATATATTTGTGAGCCCAACTAGTTTATATTTAAAAACATAATCTATGCGATTGTCATTCATGAATCTGTTTTTCTATTCTAAGTGAGCTTATTTAACACAAACATCGAATGACCTTGGCGGCCTGTTTGAATATTTTGGGCTACCACATTCCATGTACATTTTGCATCTATTTACTCGTATTTTATTGGTATTTACACATCACATTATGCATTCTAATCGTATTATCCACTCCCGGGATTTTATAAAACGTTTTAAACCTAAAAACTTTCATATTTGCAATAAACTCAAGAAAAAGCACCATGGAGGTTGGCAGCGTGCCTTAAAATCTACGCCTATACATCACACCACTGTCCCAGTTATCATTAGTACCAACTGCCGGTCCCTTCCTAACAAAATTCTGGATTTTCAGTCCCTGTTGTCGTCAGGAATCTACCATAATACTGGTATTGTCACTCTACAAAAAACCTGGCTCCATGACTCACATGATGACAATATTGTGTCTCTAAACAATTTTAATGTATTCCGACAAGACCATGTTTGTTCCAAGAAAAAATGTGGCGGAGGTGTTGCAGCTTTTATTCACTCAAAATTTCTAACAAAGTTTGTTTTAAATTCTTGAATGACTACATTGATTGCATCACTGTAAGATGTCGCCCGAAACACCTGTCAAAATACAAATTCATTTATATTTCTAATGTTTATGTCTCTCCTGGCTGTACCATATTGGATTTATCTATGTTCGCTGATGAATTCACCGCTTTTGCTGCAGCTTGCTTCGAGAACTCTTTATCTATAGTAACTGGTGACCATTCCTTCCTTATATCACTTGGTCATGACAATATTGTTAAATTTGCCACTCGTCTTGGTAAAACACTGGATCTAGTATTTATCTATGATGTTGGTATATATGAAGCTCGCAAACGTGCTCCTTTACTTAACTCTGACCACTGCATCATACGTGTAATGCCTAAAATATATTCCAAATCACACAAAGGTGTCCTCTCTCACCTCTACAGTAAAGTTCAACGGAGATGCTACTCACAAGACAACATAAACAAGCTCAGATGCATGTTGAAGGACACTAACTGGGACCTATTTACTGAACAAACACTTGATGAAATAATCACAAACACTACTGATTATCTTAAATTCTGTTTCGAAATATGTTGTCCTAAAGAAACATCATTCATTCGATTTAATCGCTTTTTTTCGCCATATCTCAAAAAGCTACGAAGAGGTAAAGAACTGATGTTAAAAAAAATGATAAACCTGGTGTAAAAAAGTTAAATATTCTGATAAAATTCGTATATAATGGCAAATCTTCTTCTACCTCGATTACAAAAGCCGGCGTTCCTCAAGATGCCGTCCTCTCTCCTTTTCTTTTTTCTTTCTTCCTACACGATCTACCTCATTCAAACGAAACTAACCATCTCAAATATGCAGATGATCTGACTGTATCACTGCCTATCACTTCCGAGTCAGACTGCTCCAAACTTCATAGCTTTCTGTTGGACATCAACAAGTGGTCTAAGTCAAATGGTCCTATGTTAAATCCTTCCAAATGTCAGGCAGTTAACTTTACTTTGGAGTATCGACGTGACATACATGAACTAGTTAGTTCGCATGATGTCTGCAGCATAGATAGCACGGAATTTGAAACCAAGTCAAGCATTAAATACCTTGGATTAGTTCTTCCCTCTGACCTTTCATGGTCATCCCACATCTTATCTATCTCTAAGAAAATGTTTCGTCTTCTACATTAAAAAGTTAAGATAATCAGGTATCAACCAACCTTTACTTATGCAGCTTGTAAACTGCTGTATTTTACCTATTGTACTCTATTGCTCTCCATTAATCTTTCCTGGGCTTCTCGAAAAAGACTGTCATATTACGAAGAGTATTAAATGCTGTGAGTAGGGCATGTGGTCTGTTATGAATGAGTTCGCCAATACTATAGTCGAGAGCCATGTAAATTCTTGTGCAAAATTTTTATTTATTTTTGATTATAGCTTGATTCCATACAGTATTTCCGGTACAAGTATGGAATTTTCAGCATGGATATCGGTAGCCCAAATTTCGCAGGCAGACCATAGATATCAGGTGTGCGTCGGCAGGGTATCGAACCTGGGACCATGTGCATGGTCGACGAGAGTCCTAACCACTGTGCCACCAACGCACAATGGGCAAAGGTCGTACTGTCAGACCCCCTGCACCCCCTTTATTCACAACTATCCCCTTGCATCTCATCAGGTAGGACGAGAAGTCAATATAAGAAGTTATATGCTCGTACCACTAAGTACCGAAATTCTACAATACCTTATTTAGCCCGTACTTTATGTGATGAAGACACTGTTAGACGTGAAACACATAAGTTACTATGTGATTAGCACAGTAAATCAACCCCTTCATAGTTCATCTTTCTGTACTTTATGGTATCAGACTTTCTGTCGTTTAATTATTACTCTGCTATTTTATTTTAGTTGGTATTACTATTATTACTACAATTTCATACTTTATGCATATTTTTCTCCGTATTGCATACTGTAATTTGCTACATAGCTGCTATGACAACGATTTGTTATTATTATAATGTAATGTTTATTTTTATTTTTTGTCGTCTTTTTTGGAGTAAATTAGATGCAATATTGTACTGAATGCTGAAAACTCCTTGCTGTATCATTAGTACTGTTTTTGGAATAAAGCCACTATTATTATTATTATTGTTATAATAATTATTATTATGATACTTATTGGCAGATAAAACCTCGTTAGATGATGCAGAACCTGGCTAAAAGTTAAAGCCTTACGCCAATGGGTCATATCTTCAGAGCCTAGTTGATTTGTATTTATATATTTTTGATTACAGCTTGATTCCACACTGTATTTTTGGTAAAAGTATGGAATTTTCAGCATGAATATCGGTAGCCCAAAGTTTTCAGGCCGACCATAGATATCAGGTGTGCGTCGGCAGGGGATCGATATTGAATTTTCTTTTAATCATTTTCCAAGAGTGATCAAGCTATCATCTAGATAATAAATCGGCAACAAATAGGAATTGTGGACTGAATTCTTTGAGTGATCATGGATTCAAACTACTGATAATGAAATGAAAAGTAGTACAGCGCCCATTAGAGAGTTAAAATATTTTTTTTAAATATGCAAAATTTATTCGCTTGTTAATTTCAGCTAGATTTCAACCTTTTTTTCGCACTAGATAAATTATCAATCTACAAAGTAAACATAAATATCTCTGTATACTCAACTACACGTTCACACACCAACATTTATATTTTAGTGGAAAAAGTAGATTAATCTTGTGGCATGTGCTACTGACAAGATTTATCAGTAGTTTATAAATGCGGACCGATAGGCAGCGACCAGAAATTGAAACCAACATTTTAAGTCAATAGCTGAAATGTTCAAACCTTAAAGCTGAATTTAGTTTCCGTTGTCGACACGAAATATTCTCATTGGACAGCTTGTTTAACCTTGGGCAAATTACCAACCAATCAGAACAATCTGTTCTTCTCTAACGTCGACGGACTTTAATGTGGTTAAAGATATATAGATATGATGTTTTCCGTTAAAAGTCCGTTACCGAACCTCTTATTTTCTCTCGCTACGGTGTACTCAGAGATTTGATCGATTTCGAGAATAACTAGTCATCACTTTTTACGAGAGTGTTTGTGAATACTGTCTGTTTGTCTGTTTTCGACATAGAACTTTGCACAAATGTGCGGAAGTTCAAGTCGCCACATTCCGTGTAGCACGCGAAGCAAGAGAAGAAAGTACAAGAAAAGCATAATAGAAACAGTGAGCAGAGGTGTGAGACAAAGGAGTAATAAAGAAATACAAAACAGTTTCATTGAAGATCATAAGTCACAGGGAGTGGATGCATCTGCGCCACTGAGAACGATTTTGAGCCATGTCACCAATTGTTTCCAACCATAGATTTTTACCGTCCCGAGGACCCCAGCCTGGAAGTCTACACCTTCCTACGTGGCTTAGACCAACTGTTGTGGATTTCATTGACTGATGCCAAGTTTTTGTTTGACCGCCGCTAGCTTTTTTCCAGCCTGACCCTATATCCGCTAACATTGCTCGTCGAGGGAGGCGATGGCTTGGCATACGTAACACATGTCCTAACCATCTCAGTCTTTGTAGCTTCACGACTTCGTCGATTGATTTCCCCTGTTTACCTAGAACTCTACGCCTAACCTCCATGTTGCTCACCTTATTATGCCACTTTACACGGGAAATAGAACGCAGGCACCTATGATCAAAGACAGCTAGTCTTTTCATGTCTTCCACTCTCAGTGGCCAGGTCTCACAACCATAAAGGAGGACGGAGCGGACTGATGAGCAGTACACCCGCCCTTTGGTCGATAGTCGAACATCTCGTCTACGCCAGAGTCGGCGTAAACTAACAAATGCGAAACGAGCCCCTTGTATTCGTGCTGAGATTTCGTCAGAGATCAGCCCGTTGGGGCTGATGGTACTTCCCAAATAAGTGAAGCGGTCAACGTGCTCTACCACTTCACTTCCTATTTTTAAACTAGGCGTCGATGTAGTCCAGTCCTGTAACATCATCTTGCATTTGGCGGGAGCGAATCGCATGCCAAACATTCGTAGATTGCGGCTCAAGGTGTTTAGAAGACTCTGCATTTCGTCAGCGTCTTCGCCTAGAAGGACTATATCGTCTGCATATTCCAAGTCAACGAGATTATTCCCCGGTAGCAAGTCAATCCCTGAATCGCTGAAGTCACCTAGGGTTAAGTCCATTAACACATCTATGATGAAGTTGAATAGAAAAGGAGATAATGGGCATCCTTGACGGACACCACTGGTCGTCATCAGTTCAGATGACAGCTCGCCGTAAGCCCTCACCTGGCTGTATGAGTACGAATAGAGTGCCTTAATCAGTGCAATATATTTTCTCGGAATTCCCTTTACAGCCAAGCATCTCCAGAGAACTTCCCGATCGACAGAGTCGAATGCTGCCTTTAGGTCAAGAAATATAATGACTGTTGGACGCCGGTAGGAATGCCTATGTTCTAGAATCTGTCGGAGGGTGAAGATATGATCAATACACCCTCTTCCTGGTCTAAAGCCTGCCTGGCTCTCTCGTGTTTGTGCTTCCCGAGCACCACTCAGTCTACGCATGATTATTGAGCCTAAGACTTTAGATACTATATTAGTCAAGCTAATCCCTCTGTGATTATCACAGGAAGACTTGTCTCCCTTCTTGTATATGGGGATAATCAGTGACTTACACCAACCCGATGGGACTTCTTCTGATTCCCAGACGCTGCCTAGTACCTCAGTTAATCCGGACAGTAAGCTGTCTCCACCGTACTTAAATACCTCTGGCGTCATTCCATCAGGTCCCGCTGCTTTGCCTAGTTTCAGATTGGTGACAGCTTTAGTAACCTCAGTTAGTGACGGAGGACCTGTGTCTATATCCCATTCAGGGAGGTGTTGGATGCTCGGAAGGTTGAGCGTGGCTGTGGGCAAATTAAACTGCTCCTCATAATGCTCTTTCCAACGATCCAGTCGTCTATCCTGGAGCTAATTATAGTGCCATTTTTTTCCGAGATTGTCTCACTGATGATTTGTCTTCTCCCACCCGTTTCCCTGATGAGTCCAAAGAGTTGCCTGGTGTTGCCTATCCTCAAGGCTTTCCGACTGATGACCTAGGCATTCAAATTTCAGTCAGTGGGTACTGGGTTCAAATCCTGCTGCACAGATTTTAGCATGACCAGCTCGGTAGTATCGTCAGCTCTATCGTCTCCACACACACACACACACACACACAATAGACGTATAGCCTAGTACGAGGGGGCATCTGTTAGAGCCAGCTGTGAGTAAGTATACTGAGTGTTTTATTGAATGTTATTTCTAATAATCGTCAGTATAATAATAATTTGCTTCATTCTAAAAGAGCACTTATGATATTTTTTTTATTTTTTTTGATTTACAGCTTGATTCCACACTGTATTTTCGGTACAAGTATGGAATTTTCAGCATGGATATCGGTAGCCCAAATTTTGCAGGCCGACCATAGATATCAGGTGTGCGTCGGCGTGGGCTCGAACCCCGGACCATGTGCATGGTCGGCGAGAGTCCTAACCACTGTGTCACCGACGCACACAACACACAGCATGGAATTCTCGGCATTTAATACAGTATTGCATCTGACTTACTCGATAACAGCAAAGAAAAACAAAATATTATAGGGTATAGAAAAAACCGAGAGTCATAACAACAACTTTTAGGTATCAGCAGAATCATACTATCCAAAAATGTACAAAAAGTGTAGAATGGTAATAATAATAATAATGTTAATAACTAAAATCATAAGATAATTGGAATGGTGTCACCATCAATGACAATTAATTCCATATATAACGACCAAATTGAATGAATACAACCTCCCCGTTTACACAGAGATGTAAATATAATGAAGAAAGATATGTAACTCGGGTGGAGGGTGATAGAGTTCAAGGTTACCAGGAGCGACGACTAACAAAATCGTAGAGAAATTTAAAAGTTTACTTTAAACTGAAGTATGCACTGAAGATGTTGCATAGTATGGCAATGGAAGTTTCGTAACTAAACCATACAGTCTAGAGAACACAACTCTACACCGAAACACAGAGATGTGCTCTACTGCTTTTAGTGTTTAACTAAAAGTACGTTATGCCGTGGAATTGATTATCCCCCGGTCCTACGGAATACTATCAGAATTATGCGAAAGACAGTTCTAAACTCAGTGCATGAGGAACTGATATATATATATATATATCCACTTGAATTAGAAAAAAGTAACAATGAGAAATTACAAACTTTGACATGGATAAATTATCATTAGCAGTCTGGTAAGGCAAAAACAAGTTCCACGTCGCATACTATGCGTACATAAACCAACACACCAGGATATATTTACACCTAGATAGTGAGCCATTTTTGTAAGACTACACACACACACACACAAACGTACATATGTGCATTACGTATTTCATTACTATCTATATCTGAATATCTTTCCGAAATTTTATCTTATGTAGAATAATAAGATGTATAATTATTATGAGAACCAGACGAAGCAGAAGAAGAAGAAGAAGAAGAAGAAGAAGAAGCAGGAGGATAATTAAAAAAAATACAGACAAATTGAAAATACGGCTCCAAAACACATTCGGAAGCATTTTTAAATACACCACGGGATTACGTGAAGGCAATAATAATAACAACAACAGAAAAATGATAAAAATAACAGTAACCACATAGGTAGGGTTAAGAGCGCCAAAAACATGAAAACATCGCGCGCGAGCACACACACACACATGCGCGTATGTACGCAGACATAAACAAGATACGCGTCAACAGAAAGACGGTAAATTCCATACTCTTGGTTGAAACACATAATTGCAATAATAATATTCATAAACAGAAATAATACTAATAATTAGTATACACAGTGTGAATAGTATTACCTTTGTCCGTATTGATTTATCGCTGCAACACGAATCAAGTATTCTGTAGACGGTGACAGTTGATTTATCTTATACGATCTACCGAACACTTGAATAGGTTCAAAAAACTCTGGATCCGTCTGCATAGAATAAAAAAAAACAAAGATATATAACAAATAATAAAGTTCAATGCAAATGGTTAAGACAGAATTATTTTCTCTCATAATTAAAGTGGTTTTATCGTGGTACTTTGCTACATTTGTTTTCTTGGTTAGTTTAACTACAAATATGATAAAAACAAGAGTATTTATATAAGAACAGTCTATATATATATATATATATATATATATATATATATATACAACGCATGAGTACGTCATTATCGGCAGTCAACACCACTTAGTTAAGTTTGTTTGGTCAAAGCATTAGGTGGAAACTTGACCATTAAACATATCGCTTCATATATCGCATTTTTTAATTATAACTTGACTACACGCTGTATTTTTGGTACATGTATGAAATTTTCAGCAAGTGATATCGTTAGCCCAAATTTTCCAGGCCGACCAATTGATACCAGGTGTGCGTCGGTAGGGGATCGAACCCAGGACCATGTGCATGGTGGCCGGCTAGAGTCCTAACCGCTCTGCCACCCAACGCGATGTTGTTCATAAGAAGTTCTTTACTTTAGGTTTAGCAAAACCGTCTGATTAGCAGCAAAATGCCGGTGCATTTTAGAATATTGCATACCTTTTTGAAAAACAGAAGTGAATCGATTAACGAACAGACAATATTCTTTCTTTCTTCTTTACCCGGTTCCACCGCAAATCACACACACGTACACATCAAAACTACTAGTGTGAGCAAAAATAAGTTGGTGTAAACACCGTCGACAGTTCGATATCAGATCACCTCGTCCAAACAAGCCTAAAGACTGAAATTTAAGAAACTTTTTGTTTAATCTGTCGAATACCAAATAAATTGTCAAAAGCCTCTAGAAATGGAATACTCCAAACAGATGAGGCCATTACAATTCACTTAAATCAGTTTAGTGTCACAATGAAGTATATTCTTACTTATAGAGATGTCTACAGATATTAACGATCCAATGTCATTCAGGAGGAAACATTAATTTTGTTAATAACAATTATTCTTGAATTACTATGGTAGTATGAGTCTAGAACCTGATGAAGAAGTAATTATCGAGAAGAATATTCTTTGTTAACTAATCAGTCTTCTGGAATCTTTAAAGGTCATCTTTAACCAAATAAAATAAACGTTTAAAACAGGCTTTCCAAGGTATATAATGTTATACAAACTGATCGTCTTAAAGGTTAAATGTTTCACTTCACTTTGATAAATTCTGTCCATACGTAAAGTGCGTTAGACGGGCTATGGGACATGTATTACTCCGCACATACTGATGACATATATATCAGTAGTATACATATATGTATATCAACAACTGTCTTTGCTCTATACTGAGGATCAGATGGCCGGGCCGGAAAGAATCACCAACAAGAAAATTTGGGAACAAACAAAAGAAGAACCAACAAATCGCCCAACAAATATGCAGGAGAAAGTGGATCGAGATGGATTGGACACTCGCTCGCTGAGGAGGCCGCTGGGTGACATCGCGCGCCAGGCCATTGCTCGAGTGAAACCCGAAAGGGATTTGGTGAGTGGGACGTCCAAGCGTGGGTGATATGGAGGAGATTATGTGAAGAGGAGTTGAAAGAGTATGGACTAACATGGATGCAGGTGAAAAGTGGAGGAGAAGACAGAAGCAAATGAAGACGTGCAGTTGAAGCCCTATGTTCCACTAGGAACCCAAGGGAACAATACTAATAATAATATATAGCGTAAATCTTGCCAGACAAATTGATAGATCTACCCTACTCTACCTTACCACCTGTTTTGTTGGAATGTTGTTTGATTACTTAAGCATGGGAAAAAGCCTATGATTGAAAAATTCGAACAACGTTTCACGTCATTAGTAAAGGCAGGATTAGTTTATTTTTCTCATAAAGTCATGAGATCATTTGTTACATCATTGCACATAATAAATTCACTTTGAAAAGTTCTGATTTCACTCTCCATTCTATTAATCATCAGTTAGTTTAAAAAGATTGATAAAAGAATTCTATCTATCTATCTATTTGTGAACAAATCAGCTTTCTGCAATATGAACTCAATTATCTAATTAATGTTCACATCAACTTGATGTGTGATTGACAAGGATTCATTAGTTTAATGCATAGTGTGTGAATTTCTCTCTAATTTACTTCATACACGTTACACAAAATGACAGAATTATAAGATACACCTAAATTAGGCATTTTTAGTTTTACCGGTTGAAAAATCATTATAAAGAAAATGACGCCAGTGTAATAAGAAAAGAGATTTACTGAAATGATACACAGTTAAGTTTGTTAGGTAATGAAATAATTCTCTGAACAGCAAAATAAGTTACTATGGCGCCTAGATCATTTATCTCGTAGAGGATTAGCCTTAAAAAAAGAATATACAATCCAGTCATAGGTGTATTATAGCAATGAGTATTTATAAAAATAGGAGAATTGAAAATCCTATTAACCATAATAAACTTAAAATTAGTCGACATAAAAGCAAAGAAGATAGAGTGTAACGACAGAAGACAAGGACCGGGAAACAGATCGTTTATTCAGAAAATCCAGACGCATTTATAGATTTTTATGTACATTATTGTCAGCGAAGAAGCAACGTCTTCTAATTTGTTGTTTTCTTGCTGAAGATTATTCTGCGATCTTTTTTTGTGGCCGCTTCTCAGAAAGTTAACCATATATCTGCGAATCATATTTCCACACGTTAACTTCGCTGTGATTGTCTGGTGGTTTCCTTGAGGTTAAGCTTTGTTATTGTTTTCCTCATGACCCTGAATCGGGACGTAAATTGTTGTCTACAATTTTGGCTTACAGCCAGTTCGCACCACAAGAGTATGATTATGGTGGTATACACTGCTAATCAATTGAGATAAATAGGTGTGTACCACTCACATCAAACGACAGTGTATGCTTACCAGATTATAGAAGTTATCCAAACACCGGATGGTTGTTTCGCTCGTTCTTAGCCGAGCTCATCAGTGCTATGTGGCTGGTTTAACTCAGCTTGCAGAGCCAAATCACTTCAAACCATCCGACTTGACTAGAAAGCACTACTAATTCACGTGAGTGGTTTCCAGCTATCAGTAACCAACCAAATCCCTACAAACCAACACATGAATATCAATGAGATGCTTACTAGCGGCTTACCCTATTCAGGTAGGTAGTTACCTGGGGTTCTGGTGAGAAGTCGTGACCAGTAGGATGTAGCAGGTCGGGTGTGAGGACAAATACTCGCCGAAGGCATTGGCTAGTGGTCGCGCTATGTCGTAAACTGGCAGAAGTTAGAATTCATGGGCCATTGGATTGGGTCCCAGTGGCTTAATGGTATACGAGCTCGCCTTGCAACCTGGAGGTCCTGGGTTTGAAACCCAGTCGGGTGGGTGCGTACTGACGAAGAGTCCCAAACTAGGATGAAACAGCAGCTGTCCAGTACTCCCAGGTTTTCCAGTGGTTCTCTAACCAATATCAGCTAATGACGAAATCCTGTAACTAATCAAATCCCAACGAACCAATACTTGAATATCAGTATTTTACGGCATCATATTATTTTGCTTGTTAACTTCATTTCCATTTACGGTATCAAGAAGACCGCAATATTATGCCTTGAATACCTGTAAGTGTTCCCAATGAAAACTGTAGTGAATTTCCACTTCAAACTGTATAATTCGCAAGTTGAGAACTTGATTCTGAAAGAAAAACTCCCATTGAACTGTTTCAATGAGTTGCACTAGAATTCATATATAACTGACTAAAATTACACAGTGCGTATTTTAAAGAAAAAAGTAGCAAGTATTGAAACACTGTCGACTTTTTTCAAGTTTGATCACGGATTGATTTGAGTTAGAGAACCACTGAAAACTACTAAAGAGTACTGGGCAGCTGTTTCGTCCTAGCTTGGGACTCGTCGCCAGTACGCACCGACTACAGGGGGTCGAAGCCAGGAAACCTAGTAGAGCATTCACCTATTAATTCTAACTTCAACTAGATTCGTGATTTTAGCGCGACTGGCACCAGCCATTGTCATCTCTGGCGAGTATTGCTACTCCCTTCCGACCAGATGGACCCTAGTGGTCACGAATTCACAATAAAACTCCAGGCAACTTTGTCCTACAGCCAGTGACTAGCGAGGATGAATAAATTTTCAGCCGTTAGTTTGCAAGGATTTTGATTTATTTCAGGTTTCACCACGAACTGCTACCAGTTAGTTGGTTTCAAAAATAATTCATTTCATGCAGAAATTTATTCTTATGAATTTGAACAACGCGATAACAGCACATGGAGCTGGAAAAAACAACAGACCTATCTTATTTCGTCAATACCCTATCAAATATCTATTACCTAAGAAGTTAAAGTAGGCATTTTTATTATGATTTTATAAAACTTTAATTGGTCGCAAAGAAAAAAAATATTGAACAATTAATAAGCATGATAATGATATATATTGACCAGTCATGCATCGGTGGTTCTGCGGCAGAACGCTTGTCAACTACGAACGTGGTCCGTGGTTCAGATCCCAGTAGTAAGCGTGGTAAAGAGGGTAAGTTGGGTGTGAAGCTAGCAACTCAATAAAACCGCTGCTACTGAAACTTCAGGGCTGAAGCTTGGAGCCTTTTTTTTCCACTGGTAACGGAAAGAAACATATATATATATATATATATCGCAACGTTAAGGTAGCAAAATATAATGAACCGTTACAATTGTGTGTCATATAAATGAGTTTCCTAGAAAAAGGTTAAGGATAGTAACAAGATATTGAAGACCAAGAAACATGTTAATTGTTACTTTGTTTTTACTTTGCTTGTTATCTTCACATATGAACAGTCTACAGTAATTTGTACCGTCATCTTATAATCACTTCAGATACTGGGTTTTTTAAGCATTTCGACTAATTTCAATATAAATTTCATCAAGAACCGACCTCGGGAATCAAAGAGAATTGGACAGATGCTCCGTCCTAATTATTGACTCTTTAGAAGTGGACACCGATAACTGCACAAGGG